AGGACAGGGGCAGGCCTGGCCGCCGGTCTAGGGACGAGTCCATCGCCTGGAGTTGAGGAAGCTGTCCCGGCACAGCGGGGCCGCAGGCGGCCCCTTCCCGCACCCCCCTTCTTTGCTTTTTCTTTTAAAATTATTTTTTTAAAAATTATTATTATTATTATTATTATTATTATTATTATTTAAAAATTTTTCTTTAAGCCCAGCTCCTGCGCTGCTCCGTGCGAGTGTGCCGCGCCGGCGCTCCCGTGTGTCCCTCCCGGCGGTTGGGCGGGCGCGACCCCTGCGCGGGAGCCAGGGACAGGTGACAGGTGTGCGGGCAGCGGCCACCCCCGGCTCTGCACGGCCACGGCCTCGCTCTCGGGGTGTCCGAGGGGGCCCCGTGTGCGTGGGGTCTTCCATGAGCACCTTCTCTGGGAAGTGCAGTCGGTCAGAGCTGTAGTTGATTTAAGATGCGTTTATAATTTCGCCGTTGTTTTATTAAAGGTCTTTCAAATTCCCCAGACAGAAGTCCCCTTCAAACGATCGCTTGAACTTGAAGATATACCTTGTAATACTGTCAGTCTAGGAGAACACGGTAGCAAGATTCCTTGACAAAACCTCTTGGAAACTGGTGATTATAAAGTATTGTCGTAGACGGGCTTTTGAGAACGGTACTACCTAACTGAGGCGGTTTTAACTGGAACGTGCTTTTAAACACAGATCACAGTCCTGGCGTGCGCGTGTGGGAATACAGACTTGTCTTATGACTGTCCAGTCTAGAATGAGCGATTTTAGCGTTGTGTGCATCCAGCAGCTTCTTCAGGAAGACTGGCAAGGCAAATCTGCCCAAGTTTTGCTGAAGACAATTTATGAATGAGGACGTAATAGGTTGGGTTTTATCCAGTGCCCAGAGTTTGAGGTGTGGCAGTGCTTTGTACGATGGGGCAAGTGACTAATGTCTATGTAGAACTTACTATGCTGTAGTTCAGTTGAACTAGCTTGTTCTTGTTCTTGGTTAGAGAATGGGAATATACCTGTTAACCTGTATTTCAGAGCATGGTGTGAAAGTTTCTACTTCCTGAGGTTATATGTGGCAGCAATGAAAGGATGTGAAATGCTTGAATTTCATTGTGTACCAGAGTGAATCACTGCAGAATGGTAAAGTCATCTCTTTGAAGCTGAGAGATTTGTTTTCCAGAGTAGGGGGAAAAAACTTATTAACTACCTCTTGAAGCTCTCAGTAAGCAGATAGTCAGAGTTCACAGTTGTTAAAACAGGTATTCAGCAACTTTGTTGTTTCCCAGTCGTTCTGTGTGAACAGTAGGAAAGAATGTACTTCATTGAGTTTGGTGTTAGATGCCAATGCTTTTTACAGTAAAAGAAGCTGCCATGCCAAAAAAAAAAAAAAAAAAAAAAAAAGAAAAGGAAGAGGCTTTATTTCAGCAATACTTTACAAAAAGTGTGAAGTTTTCTCATTATAAGCCAAAAAAACATGTTCTTTGCAAGTGCTTGATTTGCTTAGTGCTTGATTCTTTGGAGTCTGAAACACACCTGTAGTGGTAATGCAGCAAGTACTTCAATCTTTCCCAGTCAGGATTCAGGAGGAGAGGGTAGATGGTTGTCTTGGGGATGGATGGTCACTGCGTTTGTAACAGAATTTTTCTAGACCACTGTAGACTGTCTTTGCCTACAGGTTCAGCATAGTGTCTTCACTAATAAATAAATAAATAAGCTTCTTGTAGTTTCATTCATATGGTAATTGTTTTAGTGTGTTAGCTTTTTTTTTGGTGTTTGCAGTGGCTGTGATGCTGAGAAACAGGTAGCAGAACAGCTCTTTTTTTATGAGCTACATGCATCTAAATAGTATTGTTTACTTAGAACATAGCAGATGGGAGCCTTGCTTCCTGATTTAAGTGTACACGCTTAGTACTATATGAACATAGCTTTTAGCATAGAATTTTGCTTTGCAGGGACTTGTGAATACTTCTTCGCCCCTGAAGCTTTGAAGAGGAATATGTTAAGCTAAACCTTGAAGTTGTTTCCTACTTAACAGGACATAGACCAGCAAGAACTCTTCTTCTAAAGTCCAAGCATAAGGTACCAGATAGCTGCCCCCTGCTGTAGTCTGTCCCTGAATAAAATTTGTGCTTTTCCTGATGCTTCTTGCAGCTCAAGGAAGTGCCAGTTACCATGGGGTTTTTTTGTTTGTATGGTTGTTTGGTTTTTTTTTTTTGTTATTGTTTGTTTGGGGTTTTTTTCTCATTTATGTCGTGTTGTTCTGCAGCTGTGGCTTTCTGATGGGAACAGCAAGAAAATGGTATGAAGTGTAAATAAATCTTGAGATTCTTTTTAAGCCAACTAACACAAGTGTATTGGTTTTTTTTTTATTTAAAGGAAAAGAAACCCACCAAGAGGAACCAGAGACCTATGACTAAGAGGCTGTATAAATGAGATAGTTATGGGTATGCCGTCTGTGAAAACAAATGCTGTTAAACTCAAGATTTTCCTGAGTGCAGTGTTGCTTCTGTGGTGTTGAAGTGTGTTTGTGGTCAATCTCTACTAGGGAGCAGTTTCCTGATTACTATGTGATCAGTGTATTCACCTGTGGTGTGGCCAGTTGTGAACTCAAACATGATATACCGTTGACACTTAAACTTCTATATGACACTGAATATACCCCCTAAAAGAATTCATACTGTATTCCTTTGGAATGGGTTGGAAATCTAGAACAGATATACTTAATTTTAAGAACAAAGTAGCATTCACAGCCACTGGAGAATCTTCAAGCAAAACTTTATTCTTCTCCCCATCCACCCTCTTCTTCCCACCCC